AAAACGCTCTGAACTATATGAAGCTGAAGAGAGAGCCCTCAGAGTTATGCTGGAAGGAGAACAAGAGGAAGAGAGGAAAAGAGAGCTGGAAAAGAAACAGAGGAAAGAAAAAGAGAAAATTTTACAGCAGAAGCATGAAATTGAGTCCAAGTTATTTGGGAATCCAGGTAAGTTCCTCTGTCATCAGTGGAGAAAAGGAAAACACTAGATGGACTTTTTCCCCGTGGCTGACCTCAACCTGAGCTAAGCATGGTGTGCAGCAGTGACACCTTCAAGATCTGCAATTCCAAACTATATCCTGGAAATCGTGGGTAAAGATGAAACACATTTGGTCATATTGTCATCAAAGACCCAGTTATCTTGCCTTAGGAAATAGAGTCCAAACAGGAAGCAGGCTGATGTGGTACTGTGCCTTTTCTTTTGCAGATGAGTTCCCACTCGCTCACCTCTTGCAGCCTTTCCGGCAGTATTACCTCCAGGCTGAGCACTCCCTGCCGGCACTCATCCAGATAAGGTTAGAGGGGCCTCTCCGTGACGCTGTGTCTGGTTTTTTCATGTTTCCTTTGGGTTTATATAAAGTTTCCAGGTTTTAGGGATGCCACAGGCATCTTGTTTAGTCTTATTTCATCCTTGAAATGAATGTAGATGTCCCTGTTTTCACAGGTGAAGAAACAAACTCAGGGTGTGACCTTCCCTTTTGTAGTCTCCCAGGCTGTGCTGTTAGTTGACTCAGAGCATTTTTCTTTTTCTAGTTCTCTTTTGCTGCTAAATCGACCCTCCCTGTAGACTTGCCTGCGGAGACTGTTTAAGACCCGTGCTGCTGACCTATGAGTTCTTGCAGGTCAAAGTCAGGAGACCTAGGAACGAGAGTCTCATCTGCATATGCAGTTACTGCAGAGCTAAACTTTGCAGCTCTCACGGTCTCACTTTCCTCCCCTGTAAAATGAAGATGGTGGACCACAATGTGGCCCTCAGACTTGAGCAGTAATACTGTCCATACGCAGCCTTTGGACAGATCAGTGTGTAGAGTAGTTAGAGTGAGCGAATGGGTCCCGCGGCAGCTTAAATCTGTCACTGATGGGAAGCACTGTGTTGTTTCTGGGCGTCTCCTCAAGGCGTCTACTTGGGGCTTAAGAGTCTTCAAATCCTAGTTCGAAAATCACTGACCTAAGTGATCTCGAAGTTCCTTCCAAAGCCCCCACGATGCTCTTTTGCACACCAAGTTTGTGTTTTGGGAAAAGTGTACGTATTTCTGGCTAATACACAGGTTTTAGCTTTTAAACATAAGTGCAGTCAGTCCTGTACGGACTGCGTTCTGTAAACCCTGACACTGAAGCAGAGGATGCTGAACCGCTGCTCCCGAAGGACGTGAAGGGCGAGGTTTTTGTGAGCCTCTGGCCACGACGTTTTTGTCAACCCATGAACACATATTGTTTTAGGTGGATTTTGTAAAAGATTGTTTGTTTATTTTTAGAGAGAGGGGAAGGGAGGGAGAAAGAGGGAGAGAAACATTGATGTGTGAGAGAAACGTCTGTCAGTTGCCTCACAAGCCCCCAACCCGGGACCTGGCCTGCAACCCAGGCGTGTGCCCTGACTGGGAGTCAAACCAGTGATCTTATGGTTCACAGGCCAGCGCTCAATCCACTGAGCCACACCAGCCAGAGTTGCACATGTATTTTTAAAGACACCTCATTTAACATATCTTGCTGATCGACATTGAACTCATAGCTAACAGCGTAATTTATGCCTGAATGTAACTTATCTAACATCCGTTTATTCTCCATAAGGCGTATCACAGCCTTCTCAAGCCAGTTAGCACTTTAATACTATACTTGGGGGTATTTTAAATAGCAAAATCATCAATAAAAAGCACAAAATGCAAAAAAAAACCACATAGCACTAAATAGATTGCAAAAAGGACACTGGTTTACAATGTGAGAAATAAAAACAAGACGGCAAAGTGTCACCTTGTCTGGCCTCAGTAGGAACGTGCCTGTCGGTGACTCAGGTTTTACACCGCTCTGTGCATATTGGCAAGTGACCACAGAAGCTCCATGGGTAATGACTTTGGGGTCACAACTAAATTTGAGTGAATAGGCAGATTTATGAATATGGAATCTGCAGATAATAAGGATTGCTTGTGTATTAATTATTTGGTTGTCTATAAGATTATAAGTTCTTTGGAGTTTCTTTCCTTTTATATGCATATTTAAGAATTACCATCTTTTGCATAATTCCTAGTAATCTAGTTCTTTTCGTGGACTAGTATATCAGTCATTCATTGAAACAGTAAGTCCCGAAATAGAATACTTAGTTGCTGAACATCTTGCTTGGACTAAAACAGAAATAAATAGTTTTTTTTACCATGTTCTTATTAAGGCACGATTGGGATCAGTACCTGGTGCCGTCTGATCATCCTAAAGGCAGCTCCGTTCCCCAAGGATGGGTCCTTCCCCCGCTCCCTAGCAACGACATCTGGGCCACTGCCGTAAAGCTGCTGTAGTGAAGATGCCCCAGGAGTGTGGACCAGGCAGCGCTCTTTCCAGCTCTAAATATTAGTGATGCTGCCATCTTCTTGTGCTATAGACTGAACATCAGCCTGTGACTCTGCATGGCGTGGCCCTACCCAGAAGTTACATTTTCCTCCTGTGCTCTGTCCTGGCCAGTGGTGCTTCTTGAATCGGGAGAATAATATGGTTCTTTAGGAAAGGACCTAGGTAAACTGGGGCTACGACCGCATGCCTTGGTTCACTGAATTTGCCTCTGTTTTGAGGGGCTTGGTCCAGAGTGACTGGTTAGTTCACTGAACTTCCTTGAGTGGCGATGGGTGAGTACACGCCATCCACTTTAACACAGGTGTGCACAGCGTAGTGTAGCAGCCCTTCCCCCAGTGCTGAGTTGAAGCCAAGCTTGATGCAAAACCTCCATACCCTTCCTATCCAAATAGCCCTCTGACTTCCAGGAAGAAAGGTCAAATGCTCTATCTTTGGTTTTGCGGATACCACTTCCAGTGCCCCTTGAGAGGCTGCAGGCTGCAGGCTGGGCTGGCAGAACAGCTGGTGGCTGAGTCAGGTAGTCACGTGGGGAACGAGGAACACCTGCGCAGTGCCTGAATTTGGATGGTGTCTTCATGGAGGACGGCGCCCTTTCCCCCATGTTAGAAGGATCCTAATGAGAGGAACTGCTTTTTTCCTTCCTAGAGGTCTAGTTCAGAATTCCCGAGGATAGAAATGTATTTCCCTATGGGAGTGAGACCTCGACCTCATGCACTCAGTAGGAGCTGGTATGGCTACGGAGCGGACTTTTCTGAAGAACCCAAGCTCCAGAAGTGTCCACCTATTCGGTAGTTAAAGCTAGGGGGAAAGCAGATAAAAATAATGCAGTTTATTTTTTTATGCTCATTTATAAATGCTCTTGTGCCTGGAGTCAGTCAGTGGTATATAACATGTCAGCTCTTTGTTTTGTTTTGCCTTTTGTCATTTATTGTTATTTATACTTACAAAAAGCTAAATAAATATCATTTTTATTTTTTAGTTTGAGCTTCTGCCCCCAATTTGTTGCTGCCTTCCAGATCACTGCACACACTTTCACGTTGATGAAACACATTTTTCACTCCAAAATTCAAATTTATCACATAAACCTTTTGCCACAGCAGCATCTCCAGCACCAGACTTTGTGGAATCCAACTCTGGATAGACGGAAAGGACACATCAGCTTTGGAAATGATGTCGTGTAGTTGGAAGCTGTTGGGTGTGAGATCCTGTCACCTTTGTCCCTTTGCTTAATTTGCACTGTGCTGTCTATGTAGTGTGTGTGTGACATAGTTAACGGGGCGTGAGAGCCAGCTCGCCTCCCGAGTGTGTGTCTAAGCCTAGAACTTGAAAATCCGAGGTGATTAGCCTCACATAGCCCTTTCGTTATAACTCTCCACCATTTGCTCTCTGATGCAGGAAAAGTAGAAATGAAAGAGAACTTGTATGTTGTATGTTTGGTGTCCAGACGGCCTGGCCGGGGAGCATGAAGCAGGGACTCGGGAAAACTCGGCCAGTGCAACCCAAGGAGAAGGCGTTCAATGCCAGGGGGAAGCAACCATTCTCCCCTTCCTCTGGCAACTTTTGCAAAGTCTTAATAAAGTGAGTGTTATCTTTGTCTGGTTTTTGTTTTTTAAGGTTTTTCTTGGTTCGTTGCCTTGCATAGTGGTGTCAGCAGCAATTACTGCTACTTCCTGAGTTTAGAAAGAAAGATATGGTGGTATCTTTAACAAATTATACACCTGAAAATAGGGACAGTGTCATTGTAATTTTATCCCTCAGTCTTTTAAAATAAGTGGAAAATTTCAAACATCAGAAGTAAAGAGAATAATACGTTTTCTCCATGCACCCATCATCAGGCTTAAAATAATGGTCCACTCACGGCTGGTCTTGTGTCATCTGTAACCCTAGCACTCCAGATTATTTTGAAGCAGATTGCAGATACCACATTACTTCACAAGTTTTTCAATATATAGCTCTAAACGATATTTTAAAATTTTAACCACAGTGCCCTATCACAAATGAATCAACTCCTTAATAACATCCAAATTCCAGTCAGTGTTCCAATTTTCTTGTCTCATAAGTGTGAGTCTTACGCTTCGTTCAAATCAAGACCTAGCTGCAGCCTCTGCATTGCTGGCTGATGTGTCTGGTAATTTTCTGATCACTACAGGCCCCGCTTACCCCTGTGCTCTCTTGCACTCCTTCTCTCCCACGTGATGTGTTACTTGAAAAAATCAGGTCATTTTTTCCTGTTGACTTCCCAGTCTGGATGTTGCTAATTGCGTCCTCGTGACAGCATGCTCCTCTTTTTCATATTTCTTATAATTTAGTTGTTAGAGCTTTACTCTTGGATATGGTAGCCATGTATGGCTATTAGGCACCTGGAATTGAGAGTTTGAGTTGAAAGTCCATTTGAATTGAGATGTACAATTTCACCCCAAGTGGCTGAGTTTATGACGTCAAACGCTTTGCTATAAGCCAAGCAACTTAATCGCTCTAAAACCATTCATGTTTCTGCGTCCATGTGACTGCGTGCAAAGACGAGTCAAGAAGCTTAGCTGGGACTATACCATCTGCTGGGGCAATTCACTCACTTCTGTGAGCTTCGTCTACAGGGCAGCTATCCTGGGAATTACAAGGTAAGTACAAACTATGTCTCGTTCCATTCAAATAAGTGTAATATACAATACATAATATATAGCAAGAGTGTGAATGCTGTGAAGTATTAGCAGTGATACAGATCTTAAGGACTAGAGATCACATGAAGCATTTCCAACTTAATATTTTTTTTAAATACTTATAACCAATAAACTCCTTCCGTATAATTAAATGTTTACTTTTGGGTAGTTCCTGACCTCCACATCTGGCTATCCATGAAGATTTTGTTTCTGATGTAGGTTCCATTTGCCTTTTGGAAAAAACTGGCTTTCCTACAGTCTCTGAAGTGAAGATCGAAGTCTGAGGCAATTGGTGTAAAAGTACATAGTGTGCAGAGCAGGAGACACATCTCAACTGTAATTCACTGGTGCTTGACAGAATGTAGGTACCTGGATTTGGACGGTGTACTTGGGGAACGATTTTTATTTACCGTTTGCCCGGTACTATGTTAAGTGCTGGAGGCAGAGAGAGGAGCCAACAGGGTTTCTGCCTTCCTGGAGTTAGGGTCTAGAGTAGAGAACCCTAATGATCATGCAGGGAATTTTAGAGTCTGTTATAATCGTGGTTAGTGCCAGAAGAAAAAGTGCTTAGTTACCAACTTACATTTTTCATTGTTCAAATAGTAAGTGGCTGTTGAGGCTCAAATAGTTTGCTAAATATAAGGGGCCATGACAACAAGCAAAATACCAAATACATCCTAGCACAGATTTTGAGAGATAATCCAATAATCATAAAAAATATGCTGAGTGCTTTGAAGGGTAAATAATGGTTCTATAGGGATAATCAGGCCTTTTCTTCTTTCCATAATGAGTGTTCCATAATGCATTTAGGTCAAATAGTAGAAATATATCACATAGTAGGGATAAGAATGGTCATGATTCAATTTACCTATATATATGCTAGGACGCAAAGTCAAATGTATTTCATCCTGTGGGTCACAGTAAAAAAAAAAAAGTCCGAAAAGCTACTGTTCTAAGTGGCTTATATGTTTATTGATTTGAGGGCAGGGCAGGCAACATCGATTGGTTGCCTACCATTCATGCCCCAAGCAGGGATCAAACATGCGACTTTTTGGTGTGTGGGAGGATGTGCTAACCAATGTAGCCACCGCCCAGGGCAGAGACCACTCACTTTTTTTGAAGAAATGATGTTTCAACTGAGCTCTGAAGAATAAACAACTATTAACTGTGGGGAAGAGACAAGGAAGAACATAGCAAGTATCTGGAATATGCAAGGGTACTGCGTTAGGCCAAGAGACCAAAGCTTTGAAGGTCAACATGGCTGGAGCAAGGCAGGTGAGAGGGGAGGGGCCGGTCACCGCAGGGCTTGGGAAGCCCTTGTCAGGAGTTTGATTTGCTTCTGAGAGCAGCTGGGAACCGTGGGAGGCTTTTAAGCAGAGGAATGGCTTAGTTTGCCGCTTCAAAATGACCCCTTTTGTCCCAGTGCGTGGAACAGAATTACAATAGTAGGGCATGAGAGGATACGTGGACACCAGTTGTCCAAGTGAGAGAGAGAGATAATGGGGGCTTGGAGTCCGGTGACAGCAGTGGAGGTAAGATGAAATGCCTGGATTCCGGAGATCGAAGGAAAAAACTCGGCAGGGATTTGAGGTGGTTGGCAGCGAGGGAGAAAGTATCATGATGAGTCCCAAGCTTGTGTACCTGAAACATTCCTTGAGATAAGGAATCTTAGGGGATGAGAGCAGTTCAGGGGAGAGGAAATGAGGGGTTCACTTGGCATATGTTGTGTTTGAAGCACCCTTGAGACGACTTGGAGGAGATGCATTGTAGTTGGTTGTGTTGACAAGTTTGATCTCAGAAGAGAACTGGAGAATTTTATGTGTAAGTCGTTGGCGATTAGTGAAGCTTTAGGCAAGCATGAAATCATTTAGAGACTATTATGGAGACCTTTAAAAATAATACTAGTGTCATTGCCCGGGGTCCTGGTAAACTGATTACTATAACCTCCAGCCACTCTGCCCCTTGTTCCCAGGCTCAGACGCAGCCAAATGGGCACAGACCCAGGGACTGGTGTTGGAGAGATCCTGTACTATGCTGCTCGCTAAAGCATCAGACTGGTGTCCCTAAATCCCATCCTCCACCCTCACTCCACCCCTTTGGGCCCTTTCGGTTTTCTCCGCTGCCTGCTGAATGGAGTCAGCACCCAGCCTAATGTTCAGGGCCCACCCAGCTCTATCCCAGTGCAGACTGTTTCCCAGCATGCACTACCTGCTTGAGTCAAGCCACTTAGCTCCCCCTCATTCTGCCCTGCCTCTGCTTCCTGGCTCAAGTTGCTCCCTCCCTGGACTTAATGCTCTTCACCCCACCTTTTCCCTGCTTCTAGGCTGTTCCCTGTCCTCCAGGGTCCAGGTCAAGGCCCACATTTCCCGAAGCTTCTAGGACACTCACCTTCCTCTAAAGAATATTGTCATGTAATGGTATGTACTTCTCACCTGGTACTTAGCAGAGGTGATCATCATTTTAGAGTATGTTCTAACTAGATCACTGTAGCCCTTGCTATTTTTAAGAGATGTATTTCCAGAATCTTCAAACTCTTAAATTGCTTCAGGAGCAAGGTTAGAACTGAGTAGAGAATATCTATGCAGGATGCAGGTTTTGGGTCACAGGCAGGCAGTTCACACTTGGATCTCAGTAAAACTGCAGTGCTTCCCCATAGCTCGAAATTCTAATGATGGCAGAAAATCTGAGTGATAAATCCAAGAGTGCCAAGATTTGCTAACTTTCTTGTGCTCCCTACAACGCCCTGTTCCTCAACGCCCACTGTAAGAACTGGGTGATGGGGCAGATCACTCACTGATTACCCTGGGACCTGTCTGATCCTGTAGCACAGAGACACTCCGATGTGCTGGGAAGCAGTCTTTTGAGTCTTACAGACAATAAGACACCAACAAGAGTGAGTTTACAGAGGAGATGCGGGAATTAAGGGATTTGCCCATCTGGCCTCATTTGACCTCTCCACACTCAGATTACCTAAGATGCTCACACGTGGGCATGGGGATGACCGCAGTGACCCCTAGCAGCAGGGCTTTGCACCATCCTGGTGGGGATGACAGATGGTATTAAGCCAGAGGTGCTCCCTGGTAAACCCTGGTTGTTTGCAAAATACCCAACTGCGGTGAGGACTGTACAAGGGATTAAAACGTATATTACAGGCAGTCATGAGCTTGAATTCTTGTGCATGAGTGTTGTTTTGTTTTTTAAGGCGACAGAATCTTTATTTAATGTTGTTTAAAATTGTTAAAAAATCAAATCCCTGCTCTTGTAATTATTAAACTAAAATATACTGTACTTGATCTTAGCCAAAAGGCCCAGAAGCTGTGTGGGAATGACTTTTCATTCCTGGATTTCGGTGTTGGGAGACGCTGTTGGCTGACGCTTGCTGACTTCCTCACCCACGGTGCACGAGAGTTCCAGATGTCCCCACATTCCCAAACCCTGATCCTGTCAGGCTTTTTAAATTTTGACTGTTTGAGCATGTATGTCCATGTGTAGTGATATCTCATTGTTTTATTTTGCATTTCCCCAATGGCTAATATGGTCAAATGACTTACCTGGTTATTGGCTATGTGGATAGTCTCTTTTATGAAGTGCCTGTGACAATTTTTTTCCTATTTTTTATTGGGTCTTTTTCTTATTGATTTGTTTATGCTGAATATGAATCCTTTGTCAATTACATGTGCTGCAAATCTCTTCTCCTGCTCTGTGATTTTTTTTTTTTTTACTCTGTTAATGGTATCTTCTGATGAAGGGACAGTCTTAACTTTAACCCAATTTACCAGTATTTTCCTTTACAGTTAGTCTTTTGTGTAATCTGTTTTAAAAATGTTTGCCTATTATAAAGTCATGAATATATTCTCCAATTTTATCTTTAAGCTTTACCTCTTTACCTTTCATGCCTTTTATATTTAGATCTACAGTCTAGCTAGAATTGATTTTTGTGTATGACGTGAGGTGAGAGGTCAAGATTTTTATGTTCTAGGTGGATATCTAATTGACCCAGAACAATTTATTGGAAGACCTTCATTTTCCTAGTGCTCCGCAGGGTCATAAATCAAGGGTCTGTGTGTGTGTGTGGGGGGGTCTGTCTCCGGCCCCCCTCCTCTGGTCTGTTGGCCCTTCAGAAGTGCTCCCGTCAGGGCCACTCTGTCTCACTTCCGGTACCTTTCAAGTAAGTCCTGACATCAGAAAGTATAAGTCTTCCCACTGCGTTGCTTCTCTGTAAAGATTGTCTTGGCTTTTCTTCACCCTTTACATTTCATTTGAATTGTAGAATTAGTTTGCCAATTTACACCAAAAAATTTAATGGAATTTTGATATGTGGGATCTGTAAATCAATTCAGGAAGAGTTGATATCTTTATAAGAGTGAGTTTTACATTCATGGTTATGGCATGTCCCTCCACTTAATCTAATATTTTATAATTTTTTGTCTTACACATCTTATGCTATATTGAGTCCTAGGTAGTTGATGCTAATATAAATGGTACCTTTAAAATTTTTCAATCTCTAATAGAAATTTTAAAAGATAACATTGACATGGTTTGATATTTGTGTATAGATACATAATTGATTCTTGTGTGTTGCCTGTGTATCCAATAACCTTCATAAAAGAACTCATTCTAAGAGTTTTATTCATACAGGACTTTTTTAAATTTTCTACATGTAGTTATGTTGTCCATTCATAATGTTGGCTTCATTTATTTCTTTCCAGTCCTCATACTTTTATATCCCCCTGTCTTATTGCATAGGCCAGCACCTCCAGTGCAATGCTGAACAGAACAAATGGTGGGGACTCCTCACCTCCTCATTCCTGATCTTGGGGATGTCATCCAGCTTTTCACTTTAAATGGGATGTTTGCTTCAGATAATTTAGAGATATTTTTATTAGGTTAAGGAAATTCCTAAGTTGCTTAAAGAGTCTGTTGTTTCTTTAAATCATGAATAGGTATTAATTTTGTCAAGCACTTTTTTTTTTGCATCTGTGGAGAGAGATAATTATATAATTTTTTTAAATTCTATTAATGTTTATCTTTATTCCCATTGGTTGATTTTGGAATGTCAAGCCGACCTCTCATTCCTGTAATAAACTCAACCCTGGTCGTAGTTTTCTATCCGTAATTATTTTTGTTCATTTTCATTTATGATTTTTTTTCATTTATGTTCATGAGAGATGGCCTCTAATTTTCTTGTCAAGTTTGGTATGAAGGTAATGTCAAACGAGTTAGGAAGTATTCCTTCCTTCCTTTTTTGGAAGTGTTTTTGTAATTTGATATTTCTCCCTCAATTGCTTAAGTGAAAAACTCTTTTTTAACAGCACTGGCCACTTCGCCTTTTCTGCCTTGGCTGTGGGACCCAGCTAAGTCTCTGAGCACTGAGGCCGCCTGAGGGGCCCGAGCCTGGTCCTCGGGGCTCTCTGCCTGCCACCCGGCAGCCCACCTCAGCCTGCCCCCCATCTCCACACTCCTCCACAGGATGAGTGCCCTCGACGGTGTCCCTTTCAAGGTGTCCAAGGGCTTTGTGATAAGCACAGAGCTTCTGCCTGGGCCAGAACTCAGTGTCCCAGCCTGCAGGGAGCTTCTGCTGGGTTCTATGGTAAGTGTATCTGTCTGTCTGTCTATCTCCTAGTTCCTGGGTCTGTGGGTCCAACACCGAGCCGCATGGGACCTTGATCCTTGATTTTAAAGGGCAGCTAAGCCTGCTCTGGTATATTCCATGGAGTTTGGAAATAACCCAAGAGGAAAGGTGTTTCCCGAGGAAGGCTAGTGATGGGGACTGTTTAATGGGTCTTATTTTAGCCTTAGAATAACCGGAAGGTGGCCTATATAAAGTGAATGAGGCTCATTGCACAGATGTTCCAGTCCCTCTCTTCACTGTCAGCCTGCTGTTATGTCTAAATTCCAGCATTAGCTCCGGTTGGTGTGGCTTAGTGGATTGAGTGCCAGACTGCAAACCAGAGGGTTACTGGTTCGATTCCCAGTCAGGGCACGTGCCTGGGTTGCAGGCCAGGTCCCCAGTAGGGGGCTCATGATAGGCAACCACACATTGATGTTTCTCTCCCTCACTTTCTCCCTCCCTTTCCCTCTGTTAATAAATAAGTAAAACCTTTTAAAATAAAATAAAACTCTACCATTAGGCCAGGCCTGGCCAGTGTGGCTCAGTTGGTTAGAGACTGAAGGCTCGCAGGTTTGATTCCAGTCTGGACACTCGCCCAGGCTGTGTGTTCAGTCCCGGTCAGGGCACAAATAAGAAGGCAACCGGTCGATGTTTCTTACATCCATCTCTCTCTCTCCTACACACACTCCCCCGCCCTTACTTACTCTCTAAAAGCAATGAAAAAGTGTCCTAAGGTGAGGATCAAATAATAATAATAAAATAAAACTCCACCATTAGAATGACCCCTCTGGGTTAAGACACTAGATCTAGAATCCTCTGTTAAAACTCAGAGTTACCCGGGACACATTAGAAAGGATTCCTATTCCCCACGTCTGTCCTAGGGGCACCCTTAAAGAGCCCGCTGGCTCCCACCCTGGACTATGCTCTCAGTGTATGTGGTCACATCACATACCACCTTAGGATAAACACAATTATTTAACTTCCAGGAGAATCGAGTTTACTTGAAGATTTACAGGGGAACCTACTGCATTTAAGTTGTAACACAGATGTATCAGTGGGTAGAATGCAGTCATATGAATTCTTTAAAAATGAAAGAATAAGATTGCAAGGAACCTGGAGCTGGAACTGGTTGAGGCTGAGTCCCCAGGCTTGTGGGTGCTCCTTCTCCACTCTCTGCTGCGTGCGTCGTGGGGAAGTTTGAGGATCTAGATCAGCTCCCGTTCATTTAGAACTTGAGGAACCTGAGGCCCAGGAAAAGGAAATGATTTGTCCAAAGTTAGTCCAGGTTCTGACTGCGGATCATCTGTATTAGCTAAGAGCAGGGTTGGAACATGAGAGACACCAGACAGGTGATGTTTGAAGGAAAAAAAAAAAAAAAGGTTTCAGGAAGTCAGGAGCAGAAAGCACAATCCAGGCAAGGAGAGGCCTGGGCAGAGTCAGGTAGAGGGGCTTGAGTGGCCTGGGGCGCCGAAGCAGGAGATGAGGTGCAATTTTGCTTCATCTGCAGACTCTGGAGTTGCACTGAAGCTCCTCGGGTCGGGTTTCCAGGGTTGACATAAGCTTTGTAAAGCCCAGAGCGCCCTCTGTGGGGCAGGAGGCCTTGCTCTTCCGCCTGTGCTGTGGGTGCTGTCTCTGGCAGTGGAGCCTGGTATTGGTGGGAAAGGAACTTGCTTTACCGAGCTCCATGGGAGGTGGGTTATCGCAGCTTTTCCCTCCCTGCTGAGCTCAAGCCAAGCTGGAAGAGGCCAGTCTAGTAGCAGAAAATAGGCACCCTTCTGCCAAGTCCATGTCTAGTGTCCTAGCCAAATTCTGACCTGGCTTTGCCTCCTGCTCTCAGGGTGGGCACCTCCAATTCCTTGAGCCTCTTCCCCTTCCTGAGCCTCCATCTCTGCTCCTGTTGGCCCAAACTAAAAAATAGAGAAGCATGAGACTCCAAGTATGATTTACAGCCTCAAGTTCCTGGGCTGTATTCCCAGTGTTAAGAACTTGAGATACATTTTCCCGCAACAACAATGTTATACATGGTAGTTAGATTACCAGATGAACCTATAAGTGGCCTAAAGGGAAAAATAATAACAGCTACTGTTTACTGAGCACCTGCTAGGCACCAGGCCCATGCTAGAAACTCTTTATATGTTCAGTCCTCTCTCATTTTTATGCCCCTTTTAGCAGCTGGCTGTTCCTACCCCACAGCACGGGAACCAAAGTTCCCACCGAGTGGTCCACAGGGCCTCATGGCTGGGGAGCAATGCAGCCAGCGTTCCCGCAGGGCTCCGTTAGGACCCCTGAGCCCCTGCCCACCCCTCACCCTGCTCCTGCCCTAGGAGCCTTTCCTTCTACACTTAGAGCTTCTTTAAATCTGTTGTGTGTTTGTGTGTGTGTATAATATATACATGTTATATATTATATATTTATATATATACACATATACATATACATAAATTTATATGTATGTATAAAGTGTTATAGAGCAGAGTTGACAAATATTTTCTATAAAGGGCCAGAAGTAAAAATTGTAGGGAAAGAGCAGGCTTGAGTAATTGCCAGAGTTTTTATAGAGCTTAGGGAAAGGAGCGGGTGGGCATGGCTCTGTTTCAATAACACTTTATTTACACAGACAAGGTGTGGGCATCAATTTGGCCCCCAGGCAGTTTGCTTACCCGCCACTGACACCTTCCCATCTGCCCTGCCCCCAGCCCCACCCCTTCAAACTGATGGCCTCTGTTATTCATTCTTTATATATTCTTTTAGAGAGTCTTATGTGTTTGTATATGTATGCAAGCAAATATAGCTATTTCCTCCTTTTTATACCAAAGGTAGCACTTTATAGAAACTGTTCTTCTTGATTTTCGCACTTATAAAAATCTCCCATATCTGTACATAGAAAGCATCTTCAGTTTCATTTTTCACTGAAATATTGCATTATGTGGATACATCACATTTTGTCAACTGGGTCCCTCCTGATGTACACTTAGATTCTTCCAAGGCTTTTCCCATTACAAATAGTGCTGCAGGAAATGAATATATGCAAATGTCCTTTTGAATTCGCTTACGTAAATTGCCAAACCGCTCTGGCTCTGCGTAGGGGTTGGTCCTGATTTACATCCCGACCAGCAGCACACTGTGACTGCCCGCACCCCCACACGCCCCAACAGGGTGTCATCGGCATTGGGTCTTTGCCAAGGGGCAGGTGAATGGCATTTCAGCACAGTTTTCTTTTGTTTTCTCTCATTACCAGTGAGGTTGAGCAGCTTTTTCTGTGTTTAAGAGCCATTTGTATTTCCTTTTCTGTGGATTGTCCATATTATTTTTGTCCATTGTTTTCTGTTTGGCTGTTGGTCTTCTCTATTAGTAAAGTTAGCCTTCGTGTGTGGTGTGGGTGCTGTTTCCACCCTCCCCCCGCCCCCCAGTTTGGCATCTGCCTTTGACCTTGCTCACAAGGCATATTTGCCCTGCGGATTTTGGATGCGTGCCTGTGTGCATGTTTATGGCCTTCCGGATTTTGATTCAGAGTAAGAAAGTCCGTCCCCATTTGAGACTGTAAAGGGTTTCTGTCCTGTTTTCTCCTGGTACTTTTATGGTGTATATCACACATTTGAATCTTTGATCCTTTTGGAATTGTTCCTTGTGTATAAAATGTGAGAATGGATCCAACTTTATTTCCCCCGGATAGCTAACACCATTTATTGACTAGTTCCTCTTTTTCTCATTGCTCGAAATGCCATCCTTATTATTTACCAAAGCCCCATAGATATTGAGATCTATTTCTGGGCTTTCTATTCTCTACTTTTAATCTATCTTTGCCAGTATCATAGCTTTAATTATTGATGTTTTATAATATAATAAAACAGCTGATAGGACCAATTCTCTTTATCTTTTCATCTCCAGAGATTTTCTGTCTATTCTTATTTGTTTGTTTTTCATATGAACTTTAGAATCATCTTGCTTAGTTCCCTAAATTATGTTGGTATTTTTACTGGGTCTTTGTATCATTTTATCCCCTAAGTCCCATGGGCTTGGTGTCTTCTCCACAATTCTGCCTCATCAGTTCTGAAGTTGCCTTTCCCCTCTTCTGTTTTTCACGACTCATCTGGTTTGCTCCAGCGTCTCTCTCTAGCCATGTATTCCACATGCACTTAACTAATGTCGCTCTGTGCCAGGCCTGCCTGCCCTGGGCCCTGAGGGTACAGAGCAGAGTAAGACACAGTCCTCGACCTCAGTCAGGGAGCCACTCTGGACCAGCTACATGACGCTCCTCTCCCCAACCTGAGGTCGGGTCAGAGGTGGGAGGGTGGCAGTGTCGTGATCTGTGTCTGTTTTCGTCTGTCTGTCTGTCTCCCCTCTCACACACCACCTCCTCCTGCCTCTCTCTTCCTTAACTGGCCATCACAGAGCATTGAAATTGCCTTTAAATTAAAAAAAAATATTTTAATGGCATTTTATATTCTTGGTTCTTAATTTTAAAGATAGGCGATGGGAATATTTTATTTTTGCCTCAGTTTTAAACTCTCAAGCTAGATTATATGTGTGGACTCCAGACTGCTTTTGTAGGTGGCCTGCTATGTAGTGGATAAAGCCCTCTAGTCAGATGGACAGAGAAATCCCAGTTTAGCCACTTACCTCCAATCTGACCTCCAGCAAATAAATTTTCTGAGCCTCATTTTCATAATCTGGAAATAGAAAAACCGGTAATACCAAAACCTACTAAGTAGGATTTAACACAGATTAGTGAATTTTACATGTTCTGGGTCCCAAAGTAACCTCAGATTGCAGCTAGGACGTTGGAGGAGGGTATTATTCCAGAGGTTCCCAGCCCCCGGCGTGGAGAACCAGCACTGGTCTATAGCCTCTCGAGACTGGGGCCATGAGGAAGCTTGCCTGAGCTCCCTCTCCTGTCTCCATCCCATACCACCCCCCACCCTGTCATCAGGAGACGAGGGGCAGTGAGCAAGGACAGCGGATGTGAGCTCTGCATTCTGCCCCCACCCTACCTCAGCTCCGCCTCCTGTTACCCGCCCCCATTCTGCCCCCCCAGAAAGGTTGGGGACCACTGTATTACTCCATAGGGAAGTTCATTTGGCTGGACAGGTCTCCAAGACTGGCTGTTTACTGACAAATGATGCATTTGCTAAATTAAGATTATTTTTTGAGAGAGGGGAAGGGAGGGAGAGAGGGAGAGAAACATCAATGTGTGGTTGTCCCTCGCACGCCCCCTACCGGGGATCTTGCCTGCAACCCAGGTATGTGCCCTGACTGGAAATGGAACCAGTTATTCGGTTCGTAGGCCAGCATTCAATTCACTGGGCCACACCAGCCGGGAGTGCTCAGACCCCATTTTACTGGAGAAACCTTTTAAGCTGCTACTGTTCAATTACATACTAAATAGCAAAGGGATTTAGATACTAGATTTTACTACATTTCACTTTGTCCTTTATGCAGAGATTACCGTTACATTGTTACTGATGTCCGTCTACTCTGGTGTTAGCTAAAATGGGGGTGGGCTTTGATGGCTGCCTGGGGCTGAGAATTGGGAGTGTGCAGGTCTGGCGAGTCTTTGGCTAACGGGGGCTCCAGAGACCAGAGGGTAGGGGTGTGCCCTCAAGCCCTGGCTTGCCTGGCTGATCCTCATGTAGCCTTCTCTCGGCAGCACGACTTCAGCCTGGAGAGGAGGACTCTCTTCTGGGTGGAGGCTGTCGTTCGGGGACCCTGCCAGGTCCAATGCGATGGCCCCAGGACAGCTTCAGCCCCTCCTGCCTGGTACTTGCTGGTTAGCCCGGAATACCCGCCGGTGCCTGCGCCGGCCCCAGCCAAAGTCCCCGAGGCTGGACCCCAGGAGCAGCTGGAGGAGAAGGGAGAAGAAGAGGAAGAAGCCTCCCCTGCCAGAGAGGGAAAGCCGGATCCTTGCAGCCCCCAGGCCAGCGCTCCTGCGAGCCCCAACTCAGGCCGTCACCGGTCCTCACTGGACTTACTGCGCGGCGTGAGGTTGGAGTTGGCGGGTGCCCGGCGGAAACTCTCGGAGGGCAGGATGGCCTCCCGCCCCCGCGCCCTCCTGCAGCGCATCCGCCACCGGGCGCTGAGCCTCTGCCCCAGCCCCGAGCCTCCCCAGGGCCCCGTGCCCCCGCTCCCCAGTGCACCCACGCCGCCTCCGCGGCCCTCCACGGCCGGTGCCATGCCCCCGCTGCGGAGCCACAAGCCCACGGTCGCGGTAAGGAACTTGCCCGCTCTGCCAAGTCTGCAGATCAGTAGCAAAGCCCCCATTGTCTGGGGCCCCAGCCTGGTCCACAGCCTCGGTCCCCTCCGGTCTGCGCTCCTCCTCGTTACTTTATCCGCTGCTCTCACCAGGCGCTGTAAACCATGCTGTTCTTCCTGCGGCCCTTTGCCTAGAATATTCCCTGCTCAGAGGGCCCCCATTCCCTTTGTTTCCATTGTGCCTGCTGTGCCTCTGTTAAGGCTCATGTCACTCAATTGGCATTATTTCTTACCTGTGCGTCTCTGTCTTCTAGTGGAATACGAGTTCTTTCAGGGCAAGGGGCGGATTGTGTTCATTTTTGTTTCCAGAGCACCCAAGAGCAGACTTGGCCGATAGGGGGCGCTCAATGAATGTCTTTTGCATTAATGAATGTGACTCAGACCCAGGGCTTGCCAGGCGCCAGGGCTTGCTGTAGACTGGGAGAGCTGGAGTCTCAGTCAAGGAATAGTCGCTGTCCCTTAGTTCCTGCCAGACACTGGGTTGGAAGAGACAAGGTCAAAACCACTGCAAGAGGAGAGTATCTCAGGGGGTATGGGGACCAGGCAGCACTGTAGAGGGGAGTGATCATGTGCTCAGAAAGGTGAGGGTTGTGATGGGTTGGAAAAGCTTCAGGACAGGTCTGTACCTGTAACAATGGGAGCAGAAGTGAACTTACCATGAAATCAGTGAAGCTTTAGCCTCAGGCCCCTGGCATTGCTCTTTCTGAAGCTTTATGCCTAATTTCATATTTATAATTGTGTCTGTCTGTTTTCTTTAAGAGGTACAAATTGTGTAAGCATAAAATTCCGCACAACCACGATCCAGATCAGATGGGGTGGGTCAGGACTGGGAACAGGAGGTAGGGACAGGGCACAGCTTTCTGCCCCACTCCCAGCAGACCCACAGCCAAACCAGTAGGCACAAGTCCAACAGGAAATTAAATCCAAAAGAGACCCAAGGTCTGGTTTTTCTGCTCACTGGTGTCACTGAAGCGCGCTGAGCCATCCCTTTTCCACCTGGCAAAGAGGGCTGGCAACCCTGCACACAGCTGTTGGGAGCAAATGTAGAGATGGGGCTCTGTGAACTGCACCTGCGACGCCCACATCAGGGACCAGGTGCAGACACCAGGGTGGTTCTTCCCTGCTCCAGAGTCAATTTAACCCTAGCAGCCATCCTGTCTGTGAGTGTGTGTTGGGGGGCGGGGGGATTGGGGACAGAGGCTCTGTACAGAAGAAAATTGAGGCCGAGAGCAGCTAAGAATCTTTTCTGAGGTCACAGCGTAGACTCAGCTCCTAAGATTTGGATGTTTTCCACTCTGGGGGTAAAGAGGAGACCCAAGAGTGAAGTCACAGCAGAGAAACCCTGAGCAGATGGGAATGGGTGGGGCAGGAGGGACAGGCGGTGTTCAGGGCTGGGAGACAGGCGCTTCTTCATAGGGGAAGGGTGAGGAGCAATGCCATCCAGACCAGCTGAAATGCCCTTAAGCCACCAGTCTTAGCCCAGGGTGTGTGGGTCTCGCCAGCACCATGGCTGTGTCCCGTCTCTGCCCCGCCCTATGCCCCACCAAGCCTCAGCCCAGCCAAATTCAAGAATGAGGGTCTGGCCAGAAGATCCTCCTAGCGGGTGAGGTAAAGAACCCTGGATTTGATTCTGAGCAGGGTTCAGGTCCCAAATATGCACTGCTTGCCAGGTCATTAACTTCTCTGAACCTTGATTTGAATACCCGTAAAGTGGGGTAACAGGATGGGTCTATCCTGTTTCTCTTACCGGGTTGTTCTAAGCTATAAATGAAATAATTATCATGTACTGGCAGTTTCTATATGCCAGGTCTTTTGCTAATTACTTTTCTCACATTGGCTTATAGCCTTGTAACAACCCTTGGGGTATCTAAGTATGTTTGCCTTCATTTTACATGTGAGTAAACTGAGTAAACAGTAGAGATGTGGGGGTCAAACCCAGGTCTGCAGGACTCCAGACTCTTCACAGCATTAGCCCTGGACTCTGTACAGAAATTGGCAAGCAAAGGCACCTCTACAAATGTGCCGCTTGGCCAGCTGATAGCTGACACATCCAGCTTGTCTGTATTTCAGTCCCTCAGCCCATACACCTGCCTGCCACCTCTTGGGCGGGAGCCCCGGCCTCTGGTCGCCCACAGATTCATCCAGATTCAGCTGACCTGCTGTCTGCCCTCAGCCAGGAGGAGCAAGACCTCATTGGGCCAGTGGTGGCCCTGGGGTACCCTCTGCACAGGGCCATCGTGGCTCTGCAGAAGACGGGGCGGCAGAGCCTGAGCCAGGTGAGTGATTGTCCAGAGCTGGGGGGCTGTGGAGCCGGAACCCGGTGGGTGGCCATGTGGTTTTACCTTCACCTTGAAGAAGTTTTGTTACCTTCCCTTTAGAGGCAGAACCTCAGCCTGACATTAATTATCGGGGGTTGTAAGCAAGTTTCTAGACCCTAATGCTACCGTTTCCATAGGAGTTTATCAGGAACCCCATGCCCACTGGGGGAGTCTCAATAGTCTAACTCCTCTCCTGGTCTCTGCCCCAGGTACAGGGGCTGGAGCTTTGGGTGGCCAAGAAGCTCTTGAGAGCTGCCCAATAGAACTTTCTGCAATGAGAGAGATATTTTTGTCCAATGCAGTACCCTCTAGCCATGGTTACTTGAAATGTGGCTAGTGTGACTGAGAATTTTATTTAATTGTGATTAATTAAAAAGGTCACCTGTGGCTACTGGATACTATATTGAATAGTGCAGCTCTAATCACTTCCCTCAACAAATGGTTTGCCCATACTGACCTCTCTTTTCATCCATCCACCCATCTGGTCAACAGTACTTTCCGGGCGCTTCCTGGGTATTTAGATGCAACTAGGAGGTATGGGACACCAGGGTACATAAGAGCCAGTGCTGTGTGTTGGGACCCCCAGTGCTGTGTGTTGGGACTCAGGTGGAGGGTGGTATGCAGGATAGTTATCAAGGAGGCTGTTGGGGTCAGCCCCTGGCAAAGAGAGTGGACGGAAGCAGGAGTGAGTAGATGGAGACATTAAACTTTTGTAGACTCAACAACAGTATTGGCCAAGCCTACAGTTCTGGAGCGTACACGGCCCTTCAGAGTCACCCAAAGGGGGACTGAGGTGGTTAGGTCTTTATATCCCCACATCCATCAGTCATTAGTGGTACTGACATTTAGTAAACACCTCTCTGTGCCAGTTCCTCAATTTGAGCATATACAATTAGGCCTCCTCAATTCTGCATGGTTGCTATTACTATCCCCACTTTGCAGATAAAGAAACTGAGGCTGGCCTAACTCTGAATCTGTGTTGCACAGTGCCCTTCTCTCATTTTCCGTGTGAGAGCCTTCCAGGGCAGCACCCCACACTGACCTGAGATTTAAGAATGGATCTCAAGTTGCCCCTACCTTCAGCTGCCACCGAAAGCCAGGACTGTGGCTAAGAAACTAGCCAGAAGGTTGTGAGGCACCGGGTCCACAGAGGGGGCTCTGATATGCCCTGCTTCCCAGTCTCTAGGTCCCGTGACAAGGCCGAGGTCTCATCACTGTGGAGCTCTGAGGATGAGTAGGAGCCAGCACAGGCACTGGCCTCCCGACGGGTGGGCTGAAAGAACCCCACCGCATCAGGAACACAGTGTTTGCAGACAAACTGACCGCCCACCTGGCCCGCCAGGTCTCTGGGCAGCACTCTGCCCTGGTGGGCAGTCAGAGGCTATGCCCTGAGGGGTGGGCTGGAAGGTCCATTGGATGGCTTCATCTACCCGTCCCCACCAAGTACATCTTTCCCTCTAGTCTGCAAAGTTCCACCATTAACTAAGCAACTCCTTTGGGTCCAGGTTCCTTCTCCCCTTGAAAGATAAATGCTGCAGTAAATGCTTTATGGCCAGAGACGGTCCACAAGGGAGGGCACCAGATGGTCTTCACTGGGAAGAGCCAGGGGGAGCGGAGGAGGCACAGAGGATAGGCTCTGTCCATCAGTCCTTCCCTCCTTTCACAAGGGTCAAAGTGAGGGACGGGCGTGGGTGGCACCTGAGAGGCCCATAGGCCAGGCCCAGACGTGCAGTGGGGCTCCAGGCACCGGAAGGCCCCTCCCCGAACCTCTCCCTGTTCCCAGAACGGATGGAGGAGAATATGTGCTGATCATCAGTGACTTCTGGGGTCCCATCCTGGGGTCTGAGGCAGGCCTGGTGGCATTTACAGTCCCACAGGTCCCCCACGTTGACCAAGCAGCAGAATCGTTACAAATGCAATCAGCACCAAGGCCACAAAGCACTGCTGTGGATGAGCTAAGAGATGAAGGGAGCACCCCCATCTGCCTTTAACCCTGCTCCCATTTTCACCTTCAGAAACCCTGTCTGCTTGCAAGCTAGCTCAAGCCCTCCTCCGGCAGCTGGCCTGGGACGGCCGAGGCCCTGGGGGAGTGAGGTGATCTAGGCTCTAATCCTGGGCCCCAGGCGAGCTGCCATGCTGCCTGGAGCTCAGTTTCCTCGGGTGCGCAAGGAAGGCGTGGGTGGGTGGCTTTCCAAATGTGCTCAGAGCAAGGTCTGGGTGTTCTGGGGCAGATGCTTGGAGAGTTTGAGAGCTGAAACCATTAGCCTACATTGTCTGTGCTTTCTGCCCAGCTCTGAAGGTCTGCAGAAACCCAACCTGCTTCCTCTCCACTCGAACCCATAATTTTTATGTTCTGGCGCCTTCATTTGGCACCGACTCCCTACAAATCCAGCTCTGATTCGCTTGGCCCTCATGATTTCCTATATCTGGTTTATCTCCCCCACTGAGCTGTGAGCTCCTTGAAGGTAGTTCTTAATTCATTTTATAAACACAGCATGTATTTATTGAGCTCCTTCTGCCTGCCAGCCATCGGGGTGCGGGGAAGCAGTGGTGAATAAGACTGACACAGCCCTTCCCTCGGGGAGCAAAGTTAGTGGATGAGAAAGATGAGGAACACAGTAGGGCAGTTAGTTACACAGGTGTACGTGCCGTGGGAGCGGCAAGCATGGCCCCTTGGAAACGGGGCGCAGCGTCCCCGGGGAAGAGAAGTGAGGCTGGCCTTGGGGCGGGGGCTGGGTATACAGAGCTTCATCCTGAGGGCGAAAGCAGCCCCTGATGACTAAGTAGGAAGTGAGCAAACAAGGGTTCAGCCCTGTGAGATCCTCCTCCGCCCCCTCCCCTTTCTGGCACTGAAGCAGGACTGTTGTGTGGTAGGGGGTCAAGAAGTCCTGGGTGGCAGAGCCGCACTCGGCTAGGGGTGGGGTGGGGACACACAGGTGTGGATGGCACCTTCGAACAGGTAGGTGGTCCCCAGGGAGGGTAAGCAGGACAGGTGGGTGGTGGGTGAGACCCCTGTGCTGCAGGCCTGTCCCGCTCCCCACTTGGGTTCTGGGAACACCTTAGCTCGCCCTGGCAGTCCTTTCCCTGGGTTCCAGCCCTCGGTTTGGGATAGTTGGTCAGGACTTGCTGTCCGCCTGTCTCTAGAAGAGACCTCAGTTTCTCTGCTATTGCCTCCTGGGGTTTCTGAGCCCATGTCGGGTGTGGTGGGGTGTCTAGACGGCTGGTCTGAGTGAGGTCCTTGGGGTGACTCCTCCACTCCCCCCACTGCCCCGGCCACTCCTCTCATCACCCCTCCCTCTTTGCTCCTTTCCCATGCAGTTTCTTGGCTACCTTAGTGCCTGTGACCGGCTGCTGCGGCAGGGCTACGAGGAGGGCCTGGTGGAGGAGGCCATGGAGATGTTCCAGTTCTCTGAGAGCCAGGTCAGCCCCACCATCTGCCTGGGCCCCAGGAAGGCGAGGGATGGGGGTGCACACGCAAGCCTGGTATGTCAGGGGCACGGTGCCAGAGCCAGCCTGGAACCGTAAGGAGATGGTGCAGGGAGATGAAGCACAGAGATGAGGGGACAAGCCTGGGAGGGAAACCAGAGGCAAGGCTTCTGTACTATTTAACAGAATCAACACAGGTGTTAGTGAGTGCCCACTCTTTGTTAGACACCCAGGAGGGAGCCAGAGGCAGCACAGAGACACTTGAACTTGCTGCTCAGGGAGTCTGCCACCTGCCTGGAATCCGGGGTGCAGGCAGCTGTGGCCCAGGAGTCATTCTGGGTGGTGATGACTATGACTTGTCCACACTCAGCAGCTGGTCTGGGATCCTGAGCAGCTCTTAGCGGAGGCCTAGGGAGGGTCCAGTGAGGCGGGCAGGATACAGAGGGGGAGGGAGGGAGGAGAAGCAGGAAAGTTTAAAGCACTGGGGCCACAGGAGGGAGGAAAGCAGAGGCTGTACTCTGAAACACTGGCAGAGTTTGGGGCCTGGGCAGAGACCTCTCTGGGCACCAGGATTTGACCTTCTTTCCCTCCCTGGCCCAGCACCCAAGCACAGGCAGTCAGGAGTGAGCCGGAGTCATGGGGCAAAGCCAGGACCAAGCCAGGGGCCAGGCTGGGGCCTTCTTCCTCAGCACAGAAGAGAGGCCCAAGCCCAAGTCACTTCAGCAGCACAGGGGAAACGCAGGCGTTGCCCAGGATCAGGCCACAGCTCTTTGGGAGCAGATACAGAGAGGACACCAGGGAGGGGGCTCCCCAGAATGGAGACCGAGCCTCAGCGGCCTCTGCCTTCCCTTCCTCAGGCCGGGGAGTTCCTTCGCCTCTGGGAACAGTTCAGCGACATGGGCTTCCAGCAGGACCGGATCAAGGAGGTGCTGCTGGTCCATGGCAACCACCGGGAGCAAGCCCTGGAGGAGCTGGTGGCCTTCGCCCAGTGACCACTGGGGCACTCTGCAGTGCCTGGGCAACCCAGCCCTGTGCTAAACCCAGCAATCCATTCTAACTATGGACGAAATAAGAATGACAAAGCGATGCATATTCATTACAAAATGCAAACAGTGCCCAGGGTGGGAGCAAATACTATAGAAGGAGGCAACACTTGGCACCTCAGGTTTTCAACTAGACCAGTCAACAAGAGAAAACCAGCTTACTGTCACACGTAGCACACGTCATGTGGGGAGAACCTCAGGGAAAAGTAGCTCAAAGCAGCAGTTTTGAATGGTTTATGTAGCATCGACAAAAAACAAACTTGTAGAGAGATAACAGGATACAGAACATTGGTTTTAGGCTTCCGAGAATGGCAAGTTCTTGGAAGGTAAACATGGGAGGGAACTAACGGAGTAAGGTTCCTTTGCAGATTCATTCCCCTGGTGCATCGCTGGGAGGATAAGAATCTGTCTCAAGGAAAGGGAGACATTTGCTGCTTCTTCATTGCTTTCAGCTCGAAATAATCTTCATGTCAAAGAGGCATACTTTGGGGTAAGGTTCTGGTCTCTTTCAATACCAAAAGAATCAGCTAAAGCAGTAGCCTGTGGAGAGAGAGGCGCAGACAGGAGGGCGTGGACAAGAAGCAGTGTTTTCTCGTGCAAGCCTTGTAAACCCTACCTTTGTCTGACTGTCAAAACTGTGTGCATTAGCACCTTTGCTTTTGAGAAGATTAAAACAAAGAAGGAATGATGGGCAATTCTTCGGGGTCCTCTGGACACCTGGTCTGGTTGTGGAAGGGACACCTAACTGCAGGGCCCGAGACCCTGACTTTGGGTCTGCTGATGACTGGCTCCACTTCCCCAGGATAAACAGAGACCAGACCTGGCTGCCGGTCACAAGAACCCCCGGGGAGTGTGGTTAACAGTCGCAGGTCCCACTTCTGGGTAATCTGACTCAGAAAGTTCAGCTCGGTGGGCCCTAGAGATCTGTTTTGTTTTTATAAGAAGCTCTCTGGGGATTTTTTTTTTATCTTTTTTTTTTTTAGTTGCTCTTTGTCATTGTTGATTGCCTTCACTCATTTCTCCCAGCCCCTGCCACCTCCTAGCCCCACCTCTGGCAGCTGCTAGTCTGTTATCTGTGTCTATGAGTTTGGTTTTTTATTTTTAGATCCCGCATATGAAATCATACAGTATTTATCTTTCTCTGACTACCATTTCATTTAGCATAATGAGGTCCATCCATATTGTTACAAATGGCAAGATTTCATTCTTTTTTTTAATAGCTGAATAATCATTATATATAACTATTATATATATGATATATGTGTATGTCACTATTTCTTATTTATTCCTCACCTGAGGACATTCTTATTGATTTTAGAGAGAGGTAAGTGAGGGAGAAGGAGAGAGAGAAACATCGACTGGTTGCCTTTTGTAACTGGGGACCAAACCCACAACCTAGGATACGTCCTGACGGGGAGTTGAACCCAAGACCTTTCAGTTTGTGGGACGACACCCAATAAACTGAGCCACACTAGCTGGAGCCACAATTTCTTTAGCCATTCACCTATTGATCTACTCATAGACACTTAGGTTATTTCAGTATCTTGGCTATTGTAAATAACACCGCAGTGAATATGGGAGTATATATATCTTACTGACTTTGTGTTTTTCTCCTTCTGGATAAATCCCAGATTTGAGATTGTGTGGTTCTTCTAGTTTTAATTTTTTGAGGAACCTCCGCAGCGTCTGCACCAGGGGACATTCCACCAACGGTGCACAAGGGCTCCCTTTCCCCACGTGTTTGCCAACACTCACTTTCTGTCTTCTGGACCACAGCCGCTCCAGCAGGTGTGAGGTGATAGCTCGCTGGGGTTCTGACTTGCATTTCCCTGATGATCAGTGATGCTGAACATCTTTTCACGCATCTTTTGGGCATCTGTGTGCTCTTTGGCAAATGCTTATATAGATCTTCTGTCTATTTTTTAATCTGATTGTTTTTTGCTATTGCGTTGAGTTCTCTATATATTTTTGAATATCAATCCTTCATCAGGTCTGTGATTTGCACGTGTTTTCTCCCATTCATTGCGTTGCTTTCCGTGTTGCTGATGGTCCAGGTTCCCTTCACTGAGCAGAAGCTTTCTAGTCGGATGTCGTCCCACTTGTTTACTTTTGCTTTTGTTGCTTTTGTTTTTGGTGTCATATGCAAAATACAAGACCTATATCCCACTACCTATGTTTTACTCTAGAAATTTTCTGGCTTCAGGCCTTCCATTTAAGTTTTTAATCCATTTTTTGGTTAATTTTTGTGTATGGAGTAAGATAGTGGTAGAGTTTCACTCTTTTGCATGTGGCTGTCCAGTTTTCCCAGCACCAGTTTGGAAGAGACTGTCCTTTTGCCATCGTATATGTTCTTGTCTCCTTTGTCATAAATTAATTGACTACATATATGTGGGTTGATTTCTGGGCTCTCTATTCTGTTCCTTCCATTCATCTATGTGTCTGTTTTGATGTCAGTATCTCTCGGATGCTCATGCACTATAATGGGCCCGTGGCTAGTGTGTGTGACCCTCAGGATCAGCCGATCTGGACTGGCTTCTGCTCTGACAGTCTGTGGTCCAATTTCATTCTGTCCTCATTTGGGGAATGGGCCGGTTGGGAACAGAGTTGTCTTCGATCACCCAGGCCTGCCCTCTGGAGGCCCCAGGGATTGAGGGAACCAGTTTCTGGAGCCACCTGTGACTCAGGCAAGCAGAGGTCAGAAGCCAAGACACTGGTGTCCCTGCCCTTCCCGGCCGGCCCTGTGCAAAGGCCTGTGGCAATTTCCACAGAGTAAAAACTTCTCACCCACTCCACCCAGCAAACAGGGCTGGACCTGGAGCGGAGGCCTGTGAAAAAACAAATGAAATCTTCCACATTTGTCATGGCTTCGACCCAGACACCTTGCCTGAGCACGTAGGGAGGATTTTTGCAAGCCCACACAGGCCTCACAGCAAGTTCAGGGCTAGAACCCAGGTCTCCCGAGGCCCAGCCAACTGCCGGCTGCCTTCCACTAAGCCTCAATGCCTGCCAACTGAAAATCACATTAAAAATATTCTTTGCCCTTAAAACTTGATTTGAATAACTTGCAGCAATAAAAGACTATTTTGAGAAAATCTGCAAAATGTCCTAAAGTTGATCAAAAATAAAAGGGTCCTTGGAAAAGACCTTGAAGTTAAGTTCAATTTCTACGACAAAACATTAAATCCAAAGCTATTTATGTTTTCACCGAGGCAGTCTGGCCTCGGCCTGCCCCTTTATTGAGTCCTCTTGGCCAGTGGGGGCAGCTGGCAGCGCCTCAGGCCAGTCACGTGTCCTGCCCCAACGCCTCTCCTTTCACCCTCCTCCCACCTGCCCCACACCTCCCCACCCCTGGAAAACTGTTGTTTGATTAAAAAGTGAGACATCAAGACATCATTGTTAGGCCCTGACCGGTGTGGCTTAGTGGGCTGGGTGTCCTCCCACAAACCTAAAGGTGGCTGGTTTGATTCCGGGTTGGGACCAGGTTCTCGGTGGGGGTGAGCAACAGGCAACCAGCCCACGTTTCTTTCTCACATCAGTGTTTCTCTCCCTTTCTACCTCCCTCCCGTCCCCTCTCTCTAAAAATAAATAAATAAACCTTTTTAAGCCTTGGTTGGTGTAGTTCAGTGGATTGAGCGTGGGCCTACAAACAAGAGTATTGCGGTTCCATTCCCAGTCAGGGCACATGCCTGGGCTGCAGGCCAGTTCCCAGCAGGGGACGCACGAGAGGCAACCACACATTGATATTTCTCTCCCTCTCTCCTTCCCTTCCCCTCTAAAGATAAATTAAATAAATAAATAAACCTTTTTAAAAAAGACATCATTGTTTAAAATATTTTTTAGGAGGTAGAGTAGTGTGGTAGTCCATATGGACTGTGAGGTCTCACCTGGGTTGAAACTACCCAGGTGAAACTACCAAGTCCTATCATGAATTTGCTGTGGGACCTTTTGAAAGTCACATGACCTCTCTGGGCCTCAGTTCCTTCACCATAAAATAGGGGTATTGAAACTTCCCAACTGGGATGATTACACAGGATAGTGCTTGCCCTGGCTGGCGTGGCTCTGTGGACTGAGTGCTGGCCTGCACACCGAAAGGACAGTGCACAGAAGGCTTGTGGCATGGTCTCTAGTGGCTACTTATGTATGTACGTGTATGCCCTGCCTTGTTCTATAATCAGTACCACCTTTACTCTGATCATGCTCCTCCTCATTGTCATGGATGACAAATCTCCAGCATTTACACTCAAACTCAGAAAACCTGGGAGAACCTTGCCCCATCTCTGGTCAGAGGGTTTATGAAGGTGGTTGGAGCAGAGGGTTCTGGGAGTACCGCCTGGAAGAAAGACAGTCTCTACAGCTAATACTAAGGGTCCGGTGGCTGCATTAGTGGCTCCTTGCACTAGCAGCAAATGACACACTCAGCCCCCCTGAAGGCAGAATCCAGACAAGGTGACCCTTGGAGAGAAGGCAAGGAGGATGGCAGGTCCTGGGCGCCAAGTGGCGAACCAAGGTCTGGCCCGAGAACGCAGAACGAAGCCAGTTCTGCCTGGATTCTTGCTCTCACTTCCGCCCCCTTATGCTCTGTCTGCTCTTCTGTGTCCCCACTATGTTCCCTCCCTCAGAGGCCCAGGGCCAGCAGGTGGAAGAAGGCCTTTGGACTCGGATGGGATTATGTTGGGCCCACCTGGATAATCTAGGATAAAGGCCCAGTGCAAAATCTTTAACTTAATTACATCTGCAAAGTCCCTTTTACCAAGTAAGGTAACATAAGGACATGAACATCTTCGGGGGACCATTCTTCGGCCTACCACAGAGGGGCAATGCTTAACCTAAAATAATATATGACTAACGGTGGAATTTCAAGCAGTAGTCATCTAGGGGAGTTTTGTTGTGTTTTGATATACAAAGGACGTTTCTATTTTGGAGAAGAATGACCGAGGAGGCCTTACCCAGAGGTCAGGGTCGCAGGCGAGACTGGACCCTCCCCCGACTCAAGCTGACACAGCTGGCTCCCATCCGCGTCACCTCTGCTAGGAGCCTCCCGGGCTCTTGCTGCAACTTGGGTCAGCCTCCCGCAGCTGACAACCTTCTCCTGGCACCAGCAGCAGGGCCCACTGAGGGGCTGCCAGAGCCTCCTCTCAGCCCTCACCCTTCCACTCTGGGGAGCGTGGAGGGGGTATCTCTTCAGGTCACGGTCGGACTCCTGGGATCAGCGAAGTCAGGAGCTGCCTCCTCCCAGGCCCTCCTCCCCTCTCAGCCCCCTTCCCTTCACACTTTCTCCCAGGCCCTCTGCTCAGCCAGACCGACAGCTGCCCTGTCCTGTCTTATCTGGTGTTAGAGAGTTCCTTTGCCGGCCCCTGCAAGGAACACTATTTGCTGTTTAAGAGGATTTCGGGAGAGGGTAATGTTCAACTCACGAATGGTGGCCCCTAAGTGATGAGGTTTCAGGCCTGGTAAAAGCTGGCAAAGGGAAGGGGTGGCCCTGCCAACTCTCCCTCTCATCGAGACCATCCATGCTCTCTTCGTAAGACCCCACCAAGGAGGATTTGCATCTTTGGGGAGCTCTGGGAAGCTTTCCCCCCTCCCGAGGGTTGGGAAAGGCATCAACAGCCCTTCCCTCAGCCTGGGGACCTCCTGGTGTTCACCTCTTCTCACCCTCAGGTCCTCAGGGCCAGAGTCTTTGTTCCCAGATGCGCCCGTGTGTGCCTGGTCAGAGGACTGCTTCCGCAGCTGGGACTCTCCCAGACACTAGCTAACTCCCTCCCTCTCATCGCTGTCTCCATCTCTCTCTCCTCCTCCTCCTCCTCACATACACACCGTCCTCAAGGGGAGTCAAACTCCTGCCACAAACATTACCTGGAGCAGTTTTGGGGTGTGCAGGCCTTCATGCTGGGGACAAGAGGGATCCTGAATGGGGCGAGAACCGACCGCTCAGCTCTACTCCAAGGCAAGACCCACTCACCCCCAAACCCTTTGTCAAGCCTCCACCATGCACTCAGCCCTGCCCTGGTGCCTCTGAGAAGACGCGGCCCCTGTGCCACAGCCCAGCCGATGAGCCGAAACTACCACTGAAGAACCTTCACTTACTAATTCTTCCACAAACCTGGATTGCATATCAGCTGGCTGCCAGGCCTAGCGGGGTCCAGGAATGGGGGAATGTGGGAA